GCAGGCTCACTGTCACCAGCATCAGTAGTATTGTGCCTGCATACACCAGGGCTGAATTTTGCCTACAGTATCCAACTTGAAAAATGATCTTTAGGATTTTCATCTAACCACTGATTCTGAACCAGTCTTACAGCAATACTGCTGATGTGCCCATGCATAGGGCCATATTGTACTCTCTGCACTGTTTCCTTCTGTGGACTCCAGTGGGAGCTACTTACTAGTTTTTGCATCTCAAGACTAAATTTGGACCATAGTATTTTCTAAAGTAACTTGCCATCAAGAGTGATGGAGGGGAATATTTTTGTCAGGAACAGTGTGGTTTCAGTGGACTCAGACACTTTTATTTCTAGAATTTATTGGTGCCTGCACATACTTCTGTGCATGAAAACTTCCTCTTCTTCAGCTGGCATCCTGTAAAGGCACAGCCTGCACTAAGAGTGATTTATTCAGCTTTCTAAGAATTCTAGACTAACAATGTAATGTGTTTTGAGAAGCCTAATAATCGTTACTTAAAATGGAAAAATCATATTTTAAAAAGACCTACCCCCCTTCGAATTCATAGAATCATAGAAGATTGGGGGTGGAAGGGACCTCTGGAGGTCATCTAGTTCAACCCCCTCCTCAAAGCAGGACCAACCCCAACTAAATCATCCCAGCCAGGGGTTTCTCAAGATGGATCTTAAAAACCTCTAAGGGTGGAGATTCCACCATCTCCCTAGGTAACCCATTCCAGTGCTTCATCACTCTCCTAGTGAAATAGTTTTTCCTAATAGCCAACCCAGACCTCACGCACTGCAACTTGAGACCATTACTCCTTGTTCTGTCATCTGCCACCAGTGAGAACAGCCGAGCTCCATCCTCTTTGGAACTCCCCTTCAGATAGTTGAAGGCTGCTATCAAATCCCCCCTCACTCTTCTTTTCTGCAGACTAAATAAGCCCAGTTCACTCAGCCTCTCCTCATAAATCATGTGCCCCAGCCCCCTAATCATTTTTGTTGCCCTCCGCTGGACTCTCTCCAATTTGTGCACATCCCTTCTGTAGTAGGGGGCCCAAAACTGGACACAGTACTCAAGATGTGGCCTCACCAGTGCTGAATAGAGGGGAATAATCACTTCCCTCGATCTGCTGGCAATGCTCCTACTAGGATGACCAGATAGCAAGTGTGAAAAATGAGGACAGGGGGTGAGGGGTAATTGGTGACTATATAAGAAAAAACCCAAATATCAAGACTGTCCCTATAAAATTGGGACATCTGGTCACCCTAGCTCCTACTAATGCAGCCCAATGTGCCATTAGCCTTCTTGGCAACAAGGGCACACTGTTGACTCTGTGCAACAACTGGTATTTATTCTTCTCAGTATTTCTGAGATGCTGATTAGAGAAACAGTTTTTACCAATAGTGAAATATAATACTTTTAACACTTGCCACTTACACAGCATTTTTGAAACATACTCTCTTTTATGCCAAGCTTTAAGAGCTATCTTCATTCCATTTAGTAGATGGGGAAATTGAGGCAGAGAGTGAGTTAGTAGCAAAGCTGGGAATAGAAGTCAGTTCTTCTGACTCCCAGTTCATTCCTTATCCACTGGTCTCTGCAGCCTTTCCAATCCTAAATACGTTCTGATAATAAAAACAATAAGTAAATATATTTTATAACTGTAGAAACAAAGCTGAGCTGTTCTGGTAAGTTTTAGCTCTAACTAATGCAAACATTTATTATGAAGTAAATTGTATCTTTCAGTTACTTCAGTTAATTTTAAGCAAGAAATATTGCTTTGTTTAAATGGAAACCTAGATGCAGTTTTTAATCCCCCCCGCCCCAGTCTCCTTGTAGTTGGGAATACTTTGAAAATGGAAAACCTAATCATTGGGCTACTCAGTTACATAGGTGTGAGCAGATTACACAAGTACTCCATCATTGCTCTTCTTCCTATAGGCAACACTCTGAGCTATAGCTACCATGTGTGCTAGATTCATATTCCAACGTGATCCAGGGAAAGTCAGCTGGTAGCAAAATACACTTGGAAGCCCTCTCACCTGAGGAAAATGCAATTCATGAGTGATCTGGGGACAAGCCTAGTGAAAAAGAGGTTGAACTCAAAATGAAGAATCAAGTTCCACTCATGATTCATCCCTCAGTTTCAGCAGGCCTCCCTAATCCATACAGCTTTAGTGTCTTCTGAAGCTAGGGCATTTGCTTCTGGAAAGTCTACAACCTCTGTGTACAGTGTCTAGACTTGGTAACATTACACAAAGAGCGTGGAGAGTCTAGAATTTAATATCCTTTGGGTACTTTTGCTTCCTTGCTTTTTATAGACAATGAGTAAGTCTGTGAGAGTCATGTAAGCCTAGAATTACAGTAGATGTTATAGGCCTTGTATATTCTTTATGGCAAATGGTAAACTGCAAACGCTCCAGCCTCAGTTCTATTTAAATGTTAAGGGCCAGACCGATGGCTGGTATGAACTGGTGTAGTTCCACTGAAGTTGATGGTGCTATGATGATTTACACCAGCCAAAGTTCTGCCCCGAATAATTTAATGTAAAGCAGGTGCTTTATTACCTAACTCTAACCCTGACCCTTCAGCACTGTAGGACAACTAAAAACCATCCATCTTCAGATTCTCTCCCGGCAAAACATTGCAATGACCAGATACACCTAGGCTGAACACGTTTTTCAGGAAGTGAGAATCAGTTCGGACACATATAAGGTTAGTTACAAATTCTGATAGCCTTTAAGAGTGGCTCTTTTTTTGCCCTTCATAGTAGAAGCACATGCAGTGAAGCAGGACCAGCAAAACTGCTCCCTTCATTTCCTTTGGGTTTATCAATGAGCAGAGATTCTTGGGAGATCTACCACACTCTTTCTCCCAACGTTAGTGAGCCTTTCACATCTCCACACACGATGGGGAAAGCTCCCCCAGCAATTTGCCTGTCTGAGATATTGAAGCAACAGCCACGATGGTGTTTTTGGGTAGGGAGAGAGATTAGGGATTAGAGGAACGTTTGAATGAGTTCTTGGTTGGAGCACTCAGAAACTGGGATCTGTTTAACCCTCCAATCTTGCTACATTAGTCAATAGCTCAAAGCAGTAACATGACTCCTTCCTACATAAAGAAAATATTTTCTTGAGGATTTACAATCATATTTGTTCAGGTAAATAACACTAGCATACCAGCAGAAAGGGGTCTGAACACTGGAACCCTTTGTCTGCATTCACTGAACTCTGCAATAAGTAGCTTGTGGATTTCCCCCTATTTGTTGTGTTTTTACAAGAGGAGCTTGTGTTATCCTGAGTGCTTCAGGTCCTCAGTGACAGTCAGTGCATGACTCCATTTGAGGTGACTCTCATGAACTCTGCTTATTCTCTTATCTATTGTAGGATTTTATATTGCCACTCCTCACTACAGTGTCTGAGCATCTTGCTTGCAAAAGCGATAGTAATAGCAACGGACATGGTAGATTTCATGGAGCCTCTTCTTCATCTCCATTCTTGGCGTAAATGCCCTGTTTAGGATTTGGATTTATATGGTTTGGTTTTTGGAGCGTGCACTTGGGAAGGTGGGGGTGCCACATTGCGAATGTCATTCTTGTTATGGTGGAAAGGCTTTATTCGAAGAGGAAATGTTAAGATACCTTTACACTGCAGCCAGGCACATAATTTGCAGCTTAATCTGGACAGTGTCGCTAAATGTAGCATTAAGGCCATGGCAGCACAGGGTTCAGTGCAAGCTGTAAAAGCCCCCCAATCCTCCTGGACACATACTGGCATTGCTAGCTCATGCTGAAGCCTGCACCTCTGAATCCTCACTGCTATTTTAAGAGAGCTAGCTAGATTAAAGCTAGCATGGGTGTGTCTACACGAGCTGCAGATTACACCCCCGGCTACACTGTAGATGTAGCCTTAGTCTTCTAATTGTGCTTGCTAGACTTGTCAGACCACTCCATCCCTACGTTTGTCTTTTGCAAATGGACAGGCAGTTCTGTAAAATGGAGGAAGAACTCTCATACATGGGAATTATACCAATCAGAAAAGTTTCTGCCACTTGCCTGATATATTCTGACCCCTCTCCCACATCAGTTACAGTATTAGGTGTCCCCCTTCATTCTCTTCCACCCTGTCTGCTTGTGTATTTATACCACACACATCACCATGTGAGCTGGCACCTCTGAATGCTAGTATACACTAAGAGGGAACACAGGTGATCCTTCTGTTCCCTTGGGTCTCTCTGGAACTCAGCTCCGATGGGGCAGGGCTAGGAAGAGTAATAGACTTCCAGATTGCTACATTTTCAAAAAGGGATGGTAAAGGTAACTTGTGGGAGGTGGCAAAAAGCATTTTTATCACTCAGTAAGGTGAGCTGTGTAATCATTCACTGCAGCTTCTGCACTTCTCTGACTTATATTGAGCTGTGCATTGATTTTATATTCTGTCTAGCCTGGATTTGTTGGCCTACAAGTGTGAATATGGTAGATTAAAAGCATTTTTACAGTTGTTAACCATCTTTATTCCTGTTCTGAGAAATACAGTTGCACAATCTCTACACGAGCTTTCCTCAAACCCAGTCTGCTTCCTCGTCAACTAATACCCTCTTTCCCATCTGCCTTTCTGCCATAGCTTGGGGCCCAGCTGCTACTGCTACAGGAAGTAGCCTGTGATAAGATTACACATCCTCATTGCTCTGTTGCAAAGGAAACTCTGTTGTCTAAGAGATATGCCTGGTTGAAAGCAGTGTTGTGCTGATCATACGTTCCTGGTCTGATGGATTAAGAGTGTGCTTATAATTTGTATGGAAGGAAAGACAGCCGCCTTGCATCTCCAAGTGTGGGCTGCAGAGTCCATTCAGTCGCACATGTGTTTCTTCTCTTCTGTCTCTCTGTTCATTTTTGGCCTCCTACTTATTTTCTCTCTTTCTAACCCTATGCTTCCAAACACCACCATCTATTTAGTCAGTCTGGTGACTGCAGTTTTATAACAATCTGCCTACTTGTTTCCTAGTGGAAGAATAAAAGAGAAAGCCCTGTCTCCCCCACTGACACTCACGCTGATGGTCTTGGCTGGGGAACAGATACTGTTGGCAGAGATCTGAGAGGAACTCACAGTGGTAGCAGAAGAAAAGAATTTGGCAGGGAGGTGAGCCACATGATTCTGATTCATACTGTACTCTTGAAATGTGGCAGGAGGGCTAGGAAAGGCTTTTAGTGCCAGCACAGAGAAAGCAGAGACACTCACATTCAAACATCATATTCTTTTTATAGCACAGGCATGCCTCACAGGAAAAATATTGAACTTGGCCTTCCAGTGTGAAGAAAATAGGCCCAACTGTGATTTTACTGCTTGAGTCACTCACTTAATCAGTTACTGGTTGCATGTAGGAAGCCTTCTATTAGGCTGACTTGGAAAATTTGTTTTTAATTAATTAATAGTGACACTGAGCTGTTTTTTCATTTGCTCAAAACTGCTTTCATTTGTAGTTTCTTTTATGTAAAAATACTCTTAAGATACCTTAATTCAAAAAAGTAATTGTCTTAATTCAGGCACTTGACTTAAGTGCCTTATAGATAGGTTGTTTTTTGTTTTGTTTTGTTTTTTGGTAGCCGATGTTAGTATTTTCTTAGAAAAGCTACCCAATTAATGCATTTGGGGCCAGATTCTGTTACATTTACTCATGTCCCTTATCATATGAGTTATCCCACACATGGAGCAAATGTGAGTAAGGAAAACAGAATCTGGTTCTTTATTTAACATCATATCTTGAAGCATAATATGCTGCGGAGAGGCCGTAGACCAAGTCTGATTTAATGTTTTACTAGTTCTGAAAAATTCTAGTTCTCCTTTGTCAGTTTACCCTGTTGTAAAAACTTTAATGACACAAGACCTGCTATTGGGTAGACCCCTCAGTTTTATTCTGACTAAGCTCTGTTGTCTTTTAGGGAGTTGGCTAGAAACACAATTAGAAAATTGTAGCTGTATCTTGTAATGTAAGTCTCCAGAACCCTGCACATTTACAAGGCCCTTGTTGGCTCAAAGGCTTATTGCTTCCCCATGTGCCATAAATCTGTATCTCCATCAAAAAATGTAGGGGCTATAGTGTATGGAAGTTCTTCTTCCTCACTGAGTGTGTCTCTGACAGATTTATATTGATGGTTACACTGCACTACAGTCACAGACTTCTATTATATTCAAGCTCCACTAACTCAGTCCCTATTTCCTGTTTAAGGTGAGACAAGGTCCTGTATGAATGAGGGGTGAAATTACAGCTGAACTCTCTAATTGCTGTTACTACAGGAGAACCTTTAAGAAATATTGCAAGACCTTTTGTGTCCAGAGCTACCTCTGCACTCTCTTCACCAATTTGCTTTATGCTAAGGCAGTCTGTGTTTCCTCCTCCCCCTCCCCCGTGGAAAGAAAAGTCAGTAAATACAGTATATTCAAGTAAATCTAATTATATTTATAAAGGGTATTTGAAAAAGGTCAGAAGTACTTTAATGCTTGAAGAATACAGCTAATCTAAGTTCCCCAAAACTTTCAAGACCCTTCGTGGATTTTTAATTAACAGCATGTAAAATGCAAAATACTAAAAGTTAAACACCGACGAATGTTATTTCAGGCTTCAGGCTTAGGCATGTTAATTTAACACTGCACAGATCTAGTTTTGGAAACAGTACCTGTTCCTGCTTAGATACATTCATATCCTGATGAACACTCCAAAGATTCAGAGGGGTAATCACAATGTTCTTCTGTCTGACCTCAGTAGTAGCTACTTCCTGCTGGCTCATGGATGATTGTTGAGTGACTGGTTTCAGAGGAACAGCCGTGTTAGTCTGTATTCGCAAAAAGAAAAGGAGTACTTGTGGCACCTTAGAGACTAACCAATTTATTTGAGCATGAGCTTTCGTGAGCTACAGTGACTGAATCACTACCGAAGGGTATACATTTAAATGCTGGCCACAATTCCTGAAGCAGAGAAGTGAACATAAAATGTAATTGATTTATCTGATTTGGTTTAGGTTTAGGTAGGATTCTCCCACACCCCAACATTTCATGGCGATAGGAAGAGAGAAAAATCCAACACTTTTCCAAAGCCCCAAAGTGACATGGGGCAGAAAGCCCATTGAAAATCAAGTTGAATACAGTAGGAAGATATATATATATATACAGAGAACATGAAAAAATGTTTTTTTTTCATGTTCTCTGTGTATATATATATATCTTCCTACTGTATTTTCCACTGCATGCATCTGACGAAGTGGGCTTTAGCCCACAAAAGCTTATGCTCAAATAAATTTGTTGGTCTCTAAGGTGCCACAAGTCCTCCTCATTCTTAGAGCATCACTAGGTGGTATAAAGATGCTGTATCAGCTGCTTTGCCTCCACCGTAATGCAACCAGTGACCCAGGTTCGGCCAGAGAATTGCGGGCATGGCCAGATTTCCCTGACGACCCAGCAATCTCTGATTAGTAGAAATGACACCTCCGGGTGCCGGGCAGCTAGCGTAAATGAGAGGAACTGAACCCGCCACAAGATTTAAAAGAATGCAAAGGGAGTTTAAAGCTCCCGTAGCACACCCTTCCTATGTTGTGCTGAGCACTTTTTGGCTGCAGCTCAGCATCTGGGCCAGTCAAGCTGTTTTTATTTTATAGAAAGTTTGCTTTAATCAGTAGTTTGATTTTAGGGTTTAATGGTGGTTTGGCTGCTTCTAGCAAAAAATAATAAATAATCTGAAAACATTTCTGGCTTTGGATGAGAGGGGACTTCAAACCATTCCAGATCCCAAGCCCATCAATATAAATCCTCACTCTTTTTTATTTTAGAAGAGAGGACTGGTATGAAACTAGCTAGCTATGGCCCCCCATTAACCACAGTATCTGAACCCCTCACAATCTTGAATGTCGTTATCCTTTCCATGCCCCAGAGAGGTAAGGAAGTGCTATTATCCCCATTTTACAAAAGGGGATCTGAGGCACTGACAGGCTAAGGGCCAGACTTTTAAAACTATTTAGACAACCAAAGATGAAGATAGGCAGCTAGTGGAATTTTCAAAAGCACCTGGGCACCTAACTCCCATTGAAGTCATCAATCTGTATCTTTAGGGTCCTAAGTACCTTTAAAAATCTGGCTCTAAGGGTACACTTCCTACACTAGAATGAAACACCCATGGCTGGCCTGTGTCAGCTGTCTCAGGCTCATGGGGCTCAGGTTTTGGGGCTATAAAATTGTAGTGTAGAATTCTGGGCTTGGGCTGGAGCCTGGGCTCTGGGAGCTTCCCCCTTCGTGGGGTCCAAGAGCCCAGGCTCCAACCGAAGCCTGGATTCCTCACTGCAATTTCATAGCCCCACACCCAGAGCCCTGTGAGCCCGAGTCAGCTGACACAGGCCAGCCATGGGTGTTTTATTGCAGCGTAGACATACTGTAAGTGACTCTCCCGAAGCACCCAGCCTTGTCTCTACGAGATGTCAGTTGCTTATAATTATCCAGCTTTATCTTGTTTTGCTTTTTTTTCAATAAGATACTTGAAAAATATACAGTGTCACCATAAAATCTATAGGTGGTTGATTTGTTTTGGTTTTTTTTGTACTACAATTAATGTTTCATAACAGCTAGTAAATCAGTGGTTAATTCATGGAAATTTTTGAGCACAGCCAAACGTACAAAATAGTAAAAAGAGCATGTGTTTAGATTATACAGCCTCAGCTTAGAAGAAAGAGCTCCAACTTTTCACACTTTTCCATGATAGCCTGATTTGACCACTAGTATGCATCACAGTCAAATTGATTTACTGTACTATTTCTTCTTTTAAATAGTTTTTAAAAAAATATTACCAAATACGTTAAGGGCTGTTTGGTGGGGTCACTTTTAGAAATATATTTTAAAAGGTCAGCCATCTGCACGGCTTTGAAAATAGGGCTCAGTAAATCAAGTTTTGGTGTGTGCACATGCATTCGTGTGAGTGTGTGTTTGTATATGTGTGTGTGTGTGCTTGTGTGTGCCCTTTGCAGGCTCTGCATTTTTCTACCTATTTTCCTAGTTGATACTTATCTTGCAGAAGATGCTCTTAGGATGTGTGCAGCTGATGGTAAGTAAAGAGCTGGTGTGTGGAGACGTGCACCCCTTTTGGAGGGAGCGTAAGTAATGGCTTGTTCTGTCAGCGTGTCTGTTCTCTGCTAGAATTAATTGTGCTTTTCTGTCATGGGGTTCTTTTAGTGCCTAATCCTGCAATGCAAAATGCTGAGTAGCTTCAATTCCCATTGACTTTAACGAGGGTAAAGGGTGCTCTGCACCTGGTAGGAAGCACTGGCCCCTTGCAGCCCTTTGTTTCCATCTCTGTCCATGTAAATGCAGAGATAATAGGAGTGCAGGGCACAATGCTACATGGCCTTTCAGAATGGCTGAATTCTCATTTTTGCCTACAGGTCAGATTCTGCGACCCTTACCCACGTGCAATAGGATGGTACCTTATTCCTCCAGGAGTCCCATTGAAAATGATTCAGCATGAACAAGGATGACAGAATCTGTCTCTGTTTCTGTTTGATTAAAAGTTCAATCCCGCTCTTGTTAAAATAGCAAAATTCCCATTGATTCTGATGGGAGCAAGAGTGGGCCCTTATCCTTAATACTGTGTAGCAACGGCTTGGTATTGGAGTAATTGGCAGTAGGCAGAAAGTAGTTGTTTCTCTCTCTATTAGTCCCCCGGACTGATTTTTAATTATTAGATGATAACAGTCCTTTTAACATTGCTGGGCTCTGACAGATAGTCAAGCAACGAGTAACGTAACAGTGCTCTGAATAGGCCGTATTTTGTTTGATTATACAACTCTGTATCCTCTGACTGCCATTACGCTCCTTAATAGATGTAAATCCATGAGGACCAGTAAAAAAGCATTTAAAACGAATAGTAAAATGAACAACATTTGCAGAGCAATAAAGGTACCACCTTTGCAACAACTTCACTCCCATTTTGAAAAATGCTAGTGAATTCATCTCCAAAGTTGCAAATAAATAATATTTTATTAGGTTTCAGATATGCATACATGCACACACAGAGCCTAACGGGAACAAAATTTTTAATTCACTCCTTGCTCATTCCAGCAAATTCTCTAAAACAGAACATTAAAAAAAGCATATAACTGGAT